TACATGCTCACTAGTGAGTGGCCGGTAATAGAGTGCAGAACGAATCTGCTATACATATTACTGCATCGGTAACTGTAATTAACAAGCAGCGAATTAATGAATTGACGTGCCAAGGAAGAGAAATGCGTAGAGGTGACATACATAGGTAGGCGACGCGTGGGTTGCTTGCCTCGACCTCGTTGGCGACGCGGAGGTAGGGTGCGATCTCGACGATTGAGGAGGGGACGACCTCACTATCGAAGACTGACTCACTGGTGATCTCGACGGTGGAGGCTGAGGAGGGCGCCATGCATCCCGCTGGGAAGGAGCGATATGATCGAGCCGCAGGAGGCCAGAAGTAATAGAAAGAAAATAAATATGGTAGATCGATCGGCCGTGAGTGGGGAATGGGAGTTAGTATATATAGTAATCAGAGAGCTAGCAGTGGAGTGGCGCAGTAGTAGTGTGTGAAGGAAATGCAGCATATCAGATCAAAGCCGCTTTCACAAAGGAATAAAGACGTATGTTGCTGCCTTTTCCATTGCTGAATCGTTCCTTGATGGCTAATCGTCACATCTGTGGAGGAGTGATTCATAAAGCACATGATATGCATGGGATGGGAGCTGGCAAAAAAGATCAATTTGTTGTTTCTTTCTTTGTTTGGGTGCTCATCCTTGCTTAGCACATTGCTTGCTTGTTAAGTTAAACAATTCAAACACACATTTTCAGGTTTTTTAGGGAACAACATTTTTAGTTAGTTCATAAATAAGCAAGCTGCATGCAGTCAGTCAAAATGATCAATCACAACTACTAGTAGACATTCCGAGAAGACAACTGTTATCTCGTCGATTTCCAGTAATGAAAGCGCCAACATACTACAATGTTCAACATTACGGAGAAGAGAATTGTTACTCTAGATGAAGCAAGCGCGAGGGCAGAAGATAACTCTACATGTTCGGACTTGCTGGTTCTCTTCTGATTATAACCATGTCGCATTAACATCGCTGGTCGTGCCTGAATTGCCGTTAGTTGGCAACAAACCAAAACATTCATGTATATGCAGCTGAAAGTGCAGGTCATTTTAAGGTTCAGAGCAGCACACACTTGTGCCTCTTACCAGTCAGTCGCTAAAGAAACCTTAGCAGACAACATTATATTGGTCCGATTACGAGTAACTTAATTTGCCTTTAATATCTGTCAGTGTGTGCCTTGCTAGCTCTTGTACAAATATTCTCCAAAAGGCATGCTCTTGTCCCAGTCTCTGGTTACCCTATTATATCTGACATAAAGGACAGAGTAAAGAAAGAACTTTATCTCCTAGCATGCCATTAGAGCATCTACTACAACCGGACCTCTCAAACCCGTCTCAAACGCTCGGGCAGGCCGCCCGGTTGCTGTCCGGTCACGATTTTTTGACCTAGACGGGCCCCACAAACAGCCCTCAAACACCCGGACTGACCGGCACCCCCCATATCCAGCCCATATATAGGGCGGATATGGGGGCGTCCGGGCACACCTGCCATGTCGGACTGACAAAGGGTTCTCAGCCGGAAACACCCTCAAATCCGGTGGCCCGAAGCTCGTCTCCTTCGTCGGACCGGTGGCGCCGCGTGGCGCAGCTCCGGCGGGCCGCATAGTGCATTGCCTGGCTATTTAAGTCGACCGGCGGCACCGAAACCTTATCATCTAGCCACATTTTCCTCCTCCTGTCCGTCACTGCCACCACTTTCCACTCCACCCGTCCGCCTAGTAGCCATGCCCCCACGCTGCCGGGTGAGGAGCAAGCCCTTTCTAACGCCGGAGCGTCGACTCGAGCTCCTTGAGCAGATCCGGGCTAGGCGCGAAGTCCGGATCACCATGGGGCTACCTCCGGATGCAGTGGATCCGAAGGAGGAGTTGGATGACGAGGAGGAGGAGGATGAGCCGGAGAAGGAGGATGTGGGGGATGCTGGCGACAGGGATTTGCAAGCAGAGCAGCAGCTATCCTCAATTCCCTCCGGTCGGAGTCGACTGTGGAGACAAGAAACCGTGGAGGAGGCGGAGATGTTCGCCTACATGGATGAGGTTGAGCAGGAGGAGGATGAGCCGGAGACCTCCTACACGCCCGTCCAGCAGGCACCTGACATCGTCGTCGTGGACATCTCCGACGACAAAGAGTAGCTAGGGTAGTACGTATGATTACTTTTGCATGCTTCGTATGGATTTAGGGGATGAAATATGAGAGAGAGGAGGATGCAAAGTGGCTAATTTGAGGACCGTCCGTGGGCGTTTAAGAGGCCGGATTTGCAAGGTCCGGTTGTAGATGCTCTTACTATTAGTAGGGACTATAACAGGCTCGTTCATGGCTTGCAACACATGGCACGGATCAGATCAGGTTGGGGGACGTGCCTCGCCAACTGCAGGATATTGTAATGGGTGCTTTACCCCTAAAAAAGATGATCGGATGACAGTTTCTTATGTATACCACATTAGTTGGAAATGCACCATTCATTCACTAATGATCAAATAAGCAAGAAAGCTTAATTATGTTTCCCAAATCCGTAAAAAAATGTTCCCTACTACATGGCTCCAATTCCTATCTGAAAATGTGTTTGTTATTGCAAATGCCTTATTTGCAGCTGAGGGAAAACAACTGGAATGTTAATGGTTACATTGGAAGTCTGTAACAATCATTCATTGGAACTGCAACAATCATTCATTGAAATTTCCTCCTCCTTCGCAAGAGTAAACAGTGAAGGTGGCCTTGGGCGCCATTCGAACTGCAACAATCATTCATTGAGTCAACAAATAAAGCGCGATGGCACAACAACAAGAACCAAGGATTGATGGAGGCTCTTCTACCTACCTGGGAAAATTGTTTCTTTGTCACCTTGTAAATCTGCTTGCCAGTGAAAGACCATATTCGATTGATTTCCCTCCCATGGACAGCCGATGCAGTTGCCACATATCTGAACAAAATAGCTCGGTCCAAAGTCATTTCTGGATAGTTCCACTAAATTATTATAGATGGGAACCAATCTAAGCCTACTTATATATAACCAACTGTTTAGATTGGATCCAATAAGCATTGAGTGTAAGAATTCCATCATACAGTTTGAGAACGCAAGTGTCTAGAGTTTCACCTAATGAATATATATTTCAACACTTCAGGTTTAAATAATAACCCATATAGCTAAGCTATTATGTAATACATGGCTAACAGCTGATGATTTTCTAGAACTTTCCAAAATAGAGAGGGCACAAAAAGTTATTGGTTATTAGCTCACTCACCTTCCAGTGGGATCCCTCATGACATCAGTCACCATATAATGCTCTTCTGTGGCCATGTTCTCAAGATCATCGAATTTGTAGAACTCCAACTGCTCTTCTATGGCCATGGTCTCAAGATCATCAACATTGTAGAACTCCAACTAGCCATTGGTACCCTTGAGCCCAACAAGAACAATGAAGTTTTTCGCAGGAGACTAGAACACTGCACTTGCATGTCTGTTCCTGAGTGCTGTGAGCCTCGACGCATGGCTAACATTGTGGGCTGTGCACAACAAATAGATGCTTATATCGTGATTAGGCCCGTCACCATGAATAACAGCAAACCGGTGGCCTCTGCGCTCCCACACAAAGCTGATTATATTGTCATTCTTGGTGTCCAATTCAAAGATTGGGATGGCCCTCTCCTTGATCATGAACAACTCAAAACTAGTCCAAGTTCTGTTCTCTAATTCTGCATACCGATCTACCTGGATGGCAAAGGTACTCTCCATTGTTTTGCCAGTACATTTTGCAACTGCTATCGATGAAAAGGTATTTCCGCCGCAACTTGACTTTCTGAAGTTTGCACCAGACTCAGCTTTCAACAGATAGCACATATTTAGCTTAGTCCATCTACCAAATGAAAATCTTAAATAGTGTGAACCATAGAGATTTCTACTTACACTAGCAAGCTGGATTCTATTACCCGAATCCTGAACAAAAAGGCATAAGATGGAATCAATCGGCGACAAACTGAATTCTCCAAAATAATGATCATCTCCTCCACCGATCCACCTTCAAACACATAAAACTATATACATTAAGCATCTTACAATATATGATAGCTTAATGAGAAGGTGGACGCTCGTTAAAAAGCGGATTGTCGGTGTGTGTTTCACCTGAAGATTGGCCACGAAAGATCAGTTCTTCCACTGGTGATGAACTCGTTGAAACATCTTCCGTTGAATTTCCACATCACTTTACCAGTCCTCACATCAAAGACATTTAGGACAACCCACCTCTACACATATGAGAATGAATGATGGTCAAATAGGAAAACTTACGAACACCAGGAATAATACATCCAAGACGGCCTTACATGTGCTATTTGAAGTAAAAAAAATACAAATCATGCACATGTTTTGATTTTTATTAATGAACCCAACTTGGAGGACACATTTGGCATACCATACAATTTATATGAACTTGCCTAATAATACACTAGAGAACACTATTAATATTTTTGTTAATTATATGCTTTACAAATCTGCATCATGATATTTAAGGATATTTTTGCACGGTTGATATTTAATGACATTAATATATATGAAAACACGCACATACATGCAAGTACATATTACACTATATAGTTAATAAAACATTTAAAATTAATGTGAAGAGAAATTTTGTTATATCGTATAGTTAAATGTAGGAGAAGCAAAATTTAAGTGATACACATTAAAACTGCTTGATAAACAAAGAAAGTTATATGCGATATTTAGCAACATTGTTAATTTATAACTATGCTAGGTAAGTAATAGAATTTTCTGTCAATTAAAACTATACTATTATACAACTATTTAAATAAGTACACAAGTTTAATATAAATGATGTGTATTTCTACGTCTTGAGCCTCGGCCCTAATCAAATTATGTGGTCTTCCTGATAGCTGTCGGCATGGTGTTCTTCTGGGTAGTTGACCCTCAGGTCCATCAATACTTCCACTCTCGCCCTCACATCATTGAAAAGATTAATTACCACGAAGAATCACCCTATGTTATTGCATGTTTCATAGATCCCTGTTGAAGTATTTAAGAATATTAAGTTATGCACAAATACAAAAGAGAGATACACATCATATTTTTGTATAATGTTTGAAGCACGTCGAAAATTATTATACTATTTTTGAACAATGGATATTTCAACAGTATATAAGAGAACAATACAACACAATTTTCTTTAATTACATATACTAATTAAACTAACCAGTATACAAAATAATGTTTCATATTACATTTTAATAAACTAAATCAAGGTGTAAAAGTTTGGTATAATTTTTTAATGAGCACAGACTCAGTAGAACTTCATCATAAAGTATAGTAGTGGTACGAGTACACAAACTAAAAAGACAGTACATGATTAGGAACAGAACATAAGTAGGGCAGAAGAGACATTCAGCCAACCCCGTAGCCCATCTGACTTGAAATTCAGCCACCGCTGGTTCATCAAACATGTTAGTTTTCTTGGTTTCTTAAAACCACTCATGTTTTGAGTAGAAATTATTCCATTCCTCTTTGATTTTTTGGTTTGCCATGCATTCATCATTTCCTCCTCAACCATCGCAGCATCCCGCCAACTAGTTTAAAGTTATGGGGTTTCGTTCCTAGGTTTATTGGTGGTTTTTCCACCCAAGGAATAATGGCATACTTTGTGCTAGCGAGCTGGCATTTTGATCTTCTATTTACTGGGCGACAATGACTCTAGTTGCGGCAGTGACGTCGAAGAGCATGTGGAGATCTAGAGGCGCCTCAACCACAAACACAACCGCTTCAAGATGGTGTAACCCACTAGGCAGCTATATGTGAAACTTTCTTTGAAGGAGAGTCTCTTCTTGAGTCTTCATAGAGCAGGAGGTGGGCGACATGAGGCTCCATCTAGCGGCCATCAATGTGCATTTCCCCCCTAACCGATTGTGCTTTTTAGTGATTTGTTGAAGGATCGAGAATGTGGATTAGAGAATGAGGAGGACAAACTAACGAATTATAATATTCTCGCAACTTGACCAATATTTCTTTCAAGGGGAAACTTGACTGACCTAAAATGCTACTCCCTCTGATCCAAAATAAGTGCCGCTATTTTGAACTAAGGTTAGTTCAACCTTAGTTCAAAACTATGACACTTATTATGGATCGCAGGGAGTGGTATGCTGCTATTTTGAACTAAGGTTAGTCCAACCTTAGTTCACAAAATGCATTCATTAAAAAGTTAAACATCCAATAAGTGTGCTGCAGACGTGGACTATATAAGCTCTATTACACAAATGATGATTAATACGTGTTGCCAATCAAGCACTATCGTAGTTGACTCACTGATCCATCACTAAATGTCGACAACCACAAAAACTCCGGCGAGCCTCCTCCACTCCACCACCACCGTCTCCGCGATCGTTGGGCCCAAGACCTGACCGTGGCCAAGATGAAGCACACACGCACACACACTTGTGGTGTGGAAGAAGAGCACAACTCACACATATTGCTCCTCTTCTTGAAAAAATCAGCATCAACTCTCATTGGCCATCCTAATCGAAAACAACCTCTTGACCTGATAGCAATGTAAAATTAATTGTATGGGCACAAATTTGCAAGTAACAAATTACTATGTAGTATTTACCAAAAGTACGCATTGAGATCATCATAGTTTCTCCTACGCATGTGTTTTGATTTTGTTTCCCCATTCCTTTCAGCTTCATCCTACATAAAAAATAGAGGATATAAGTTGAATGTTCTTAAAATTAAAATATGGGCATTGAAATAATGAAATGTACCATCTGTCCGATTTTGGAAATTGGAGTCACAACTTTCTTCAGGAAGGCTTCTTCTTCGCCACCATAGGAGGGTCTAACATTTTCACCAGTTGATGGTCTCACATTTCCAGCCAACACACCGTACAATTCAAAAGCCATCTGGAACGGATTAAAAAAACACGATCATCACCTGCCAATAATCATCTCGTCACAAAAGATATGGCAGACTGGCAGTTAATCAGGCAACAAAAACCCTTAACAACCAAGCATTTAAAAACTAGCATGTCCATGAACACAACTACACATTTGCTAAAGGGGAACACGTATGAAAGGGCAATACAACATAAATCATATGTAAACTCTGCGGGCACAGAAATGTAATGTAATAACCTCAACCTTTCAGCCCATTTAGAGTGGTCTAAAATGCTAAGTGAGCATCAATAGAAGAAAAGGGATCAGGCAAAGATAGGGATCCTGTTAGAACTTTTTTTATCTCGCAAATTGCAGCTAAATTATTGAAAACTTCCTTCTTTTTTTTACCAAATTATCAAATAGGTTCACCTCAGCAGTATTGCTATTGCAAGAACCAGTGCGAGTCATGCACTTATAGAAGCCACTCTTTACCTAATGTCATACTCATGTACTTTGTAGGTAAGCTACAGATTGATTCGTGAGAAACTGCTGTTTTAATAGACAATTTTGCTTGCCCATGAGTTGACTAATGTTGGCAAGAAAAGTGAACTAGAGTGTGCAAAAGGTTATTGGCATGCCAAACAATTCGCGGTCTTCCAAACAAAGTCCATATTTTTGTCATGACAACAAAAAATGGTAGGGTACGTACATTTTGGCAACTATCTAGACTTACCAACTATGGCAGTCAACCAACCAACAGAAACAGCCTTGACAATCAAGCATTTATTAACTAGCATGTCCACAATTGCAAAATGGGAAAAAGTATGAAAGGGCAATAAAAAATGGTACGTAAAAAAATTCGGCACATAATATATTCTACTAATAACCTCAACCTTCCGCTCATTTACAATGGACTAAACTACTATGTGAGCATCACTAGAAGAAAATGAATCAAAGCAATGATAGGGACCGCGATAGAACTTTTTTTATTAGTGTTTACAGGATCTCCTTGGGAAGAACTTATATCTGTAGTTAGATTGGCATGACAAACAATTGACAGCTATCCAAACAAAGACCAATTTTTTTGGTGATGATCAAAAAAATAGTTAGGGTACATTTTGTCAACTATCCAGACATACCCAAATAGCATAGTAGCCTTTGCATCATTTTCATTATAATCAGGAAATAAAATAGGACATTGAAGTCCTTTACGAGTTTAAAACCTAGTTCGCCATTTTAGTAAATAGATCATGTGTTAATTTTACAAAGAAAGGAATTGGCCATACATGATGATAGAGGTAGCAAAGACACTCCGGCATAAACCACAAGTTAGCCGCCTCGCCCCATATGAGCAGATAAAGGCCCATATAGAGAAGCTTCCGCTGTTGTACTTCTTGTTGAATTGCCGGCAACCTAGAAACATAATGATCAACTAATTAGTGGAGCAAGGGATTAATTAGTGGACCACTCGAGGTTGAACATGATACCATAAGCTAGTTTTGCGGCCAAGGTGCTTGCACCATCTCTTGTAGTTCTTGAATAGCTTGTTCATTGTTGTATCCAACACATGGTCATCTAACTGAAAATATTGCCAAAAAGGAAATGAGTAAATGATATCATTACACAAGGGTCCATGTGCACACACATGACACATGTGTATCTTAGAAAAGGTGGTATACTACCTTTGGGTGTTGTTCATGTTTGGAGATCTGCCTTATATGTATGCTGCCAATCAAGAGTATGAGATGTTCTCTTTGATTGGACACATTATTTTTCTGTAGAGTTATTGTTGAAGTAAGAGAGCATGTATCAGAGCTCACAAGCAAATGTTAGACATGAATATGATTGATATGAAAGAAAAGGGTAAAGAATCGCCGTGTTGTGAATTGTGATAACCTGAAACCCAAACATTGCATGAGGCCAATCAAGAAGATCTGCATCTTCTTTCTTTCCATGGTCCTTAGGCCATGGTAGACCCCTGGTGTCACGAAGGGTGTGATAAGTGGCATGGATCTGCATGTAACAATGAAAAAGCAATATAAGCCATACTTTAATCATCATCTCGCCAAAGCATGTATGATAAGCTCATGGTGAACTCGGGATGGATGTGAACCTTGGGACATCTCATGATAGAACTATCAGGATCGACGTGGTTGTGTGTTTTGAAAATGTGCAACAGTTGCCAGCAGGGAGGTGAAACCAACACTTCTTTAGATAACATCAGATCAGTAATAGCAGTGGTTTATTTTTTGAGGAAACATGCAGGAGTAGTGTGAGAAAAGAAACAAAAGGCAGCTTACCGTCTGATCAACTGCCTTGAGGACCTCAAACAACACAGCTGTAGTCTAGTAAGCCTTTGTGAGCTGATCACTGAGCAAATGGAAAAGCCATATACAAATGAGTCAGCACAGCACTCACAAGCTAGCACTAGAAAAGAGAGATGGGTCACTTTCTCTCACCGTTCAGCTTTATCTGCAGCATTCTGGAGCGCCTGGATGTACATCTTGTAGTATTGCTGGTAGAAATTCTTTATTTCGACAGCATCGCTCTGCTCAACCCTCCCCTTCAAGGTGGTATCGTTTTCCCGAGGAAGGAAACACATGCATTGCAAGGAAAGTGAAGCTCTTAATACGGTTTATATATGTTGGATGTCGTGCAACTAGTTTCACTGCTGCATTAGAAACATACTATTGCATACGCCTATGATTTTGAAGCTATAATAAGTAGTAGATCGCAGCGCGGAAAGGAGCGGGAATGGAATATAATCAATTATGCTGCACGTACCCTTTCGAGCCTCTGCAGGAGCGCGATCTTGAACTGCCGGACACCACGGCCGTTGGAGAGCGGGTCGAGGCGATGCGCCTTCTCGAATCCGCCATGGAATCGACCTAGCATGCACGCAAGCAGCATACTCAGTAAATTGTGTTGGTGAGACGACAAAACAGGTATTGTAGCACTCTGTAGTGCGGCTAGAGAGGGGATTATGGCCACTCGGAATTAATTAACAGTAATCCATGGACAGTGACACTACTACTCCTGCTGCTGCTACTGCTGCTATTATCGCCACCACCACCACACCAGCACTACTACTTTTCGTACTTGAGGAAGAATATAAAACAGTAGACATGTACTCCCTCTGTAAACTAATATAAGAGCATTTAGATCACTAATAGTGATCTAAACTAACAAGCAATGGTGGGAGACTGGGTAATAGAATACCAAGTAATACAATAGACCCAAGAAAGTAGAGTAGTGGTGGGAGACTGGGTAATAGAATACATACACAGGTGAATGGAGTAGCAATGGATTAGAGTTGTGAGAAGGAATCTGTAACTAACAAGTAGTGGATGAATGTGTGGGGAGAAGAAGATGAAGCACACTACTTACATAGGTATGCGACGCGTGGGTTGATCGCCTCAACCTCGTTGGCGACACGGAGGAAGGGCGCAATCTCGATGAGCGAGGAGGGGATGACGTCGCTGTCCAAGATGGACTCACTGACGACCTGGATGATTGAGGAGGAGGATGCCATCCCGCCGGGAAGGAGCTAGCTCCTGCTGTTCCTCACGCCCTAGGAGGAAGTACCAAGGAAATAAGTATGATCGAGTGGTTGTGAGTGGGGAATGTGAGTTAGTATATATAGTAATCAGAGAGTTAGCAGTGGAGTGGCGCAGTAGTAGTGTGTGAAGGAAATGCAGCATATCAGATCAAAGCCGCTTTCACAAAGGAATAAAGACGTATGTTGCTGCCTTTTCTATTGCTGAATCGTTCCTTGGTGGCTACGTAAGAGTAGTGGAAGGATGGATAAAGCATATGCATGGGATGGGAGCTGGAAAAAAGATGGGAGAAAAAATGAGTCGTTTGTAGGGTGGAGCATGCATCACTACTGGAAAAACTGTTTACGCAAGTTCTTTCGGCGTAGCCAAAGCGCAGGGTCTTGGCAAAGACGGTCTAAGCCGAGACCCGTTCTAGGCAAAGAGTAGGATGCGGCAAAGACATGTCGTCACATTAGTTATATACGGTCGATCGATCGGCCGTGAGTGGGGAATGGGAGTTAGTACATTTAGTAGTGGGAAGGAAGGAAGGAAGGGAAGCAGATTAAAGCCGCCTGCTCGCCGTACATAGCTGCCTTTTCTATTACTGGATCCTTTCCTTGGTGGCTACGTAAGAGTAGTGGAGGAGTGATGGATAAAGCATTTGTGTATAAAGATATTTGCTTGCTTGCTTGTTAAGCAAAACAATTCAAGCACAACAATCATTTTTTGTTAGTTCATAAACAATCTGCACTCAGTCAGAATGACCGATGAAAATTACTAGTAGACATTTGCCCACCTATTTTCATTTCCTTTTTCTTTTCTTCTGTGTGATTTTTAGGGGGGAAACAAAAAATTATTAATATGTATGTAAACCGTCATTGATAAAAATGATACCAGGGGTGTTAAGTAGCAAAACATGGATAATGTGTTTTATCTTTTATGGAGAAAGTCGTATGTGGAAGTAGAAGCTCTCATGATGGATTTCCTTTTGAATCGAACTCATGACGGAATTGATTAGTCTGGAAATTCAGGATTCAGTTGTCAACTGCGGTGTCTTTATGGGGCACTGGTGAGATCATTGGTTGGATTATCTGTCTATGAATGCGAATAAGAAGAATGTACAAGATGAAGACATGTAATAAAATACAAATTATAAACTAGAGGGTTTTGCTCCTGATCCAGTTCATGTTCAAGGCAAATAGTTTCCCCATTGACCTCCATTCCAGCTCAACATATTTGGATTCATCATGCATAGACTAGCTTGTTCCCCCTCTCGGCACCGCACATCCTGTATGGTCCTGAATCAGTTGCTTCCACTTACCAGCAACTCATCCTTCCCTGTAGGTTGAGTTGGAGATTTCCTTCTTCGCAGGAGTAAGAAATGAAGGTGGCCTTGGGCGCCATTGGAACTGCAACAGTCATTATTCATTCACTCAACAAATAAAAGGGTGGAGCATTGCAATGACAGAGCAACATGAACCAAGCATCGATGGAGGCTCTTCCACCTACCTGGGAAAACTGTTTCTTTGACAGCTTGTAAATCTGCTTGCCAGTGAAAGACCAAATTCGAATATCGCTTTCCATCTCATGGCCGACCGATACAGTTGCAACGAATCTGAAGAAAAAATAAAAATCAGTTGTGTATTGTTCGACACTAAATTATATTACATGTTTAACCAGCCTAAACATACTTACGTAAAGCCATCAGTTTACTTGCATCTATTAATTAAGCACCGAATGTAAGATTTCCATTCGTACAATTTGAGAGAGTGTGTGCTTAGGCTTCCACTTCAGGCTGAATATTTCAACTGTTTAGGTTTTAGTAATTCATACACTTGAGCTATTCCATATACAACGAGTTTCAAGAAACGTTTTTTTCTTTCAAAAAGATGTTAACAGGAAACTCTTGATTATGTGATTAGCTCACTCACCTTCCAATGGGATCCCACATGACATCAGTCGCCATAGGATGCTCTGTTGTGGCCATGGTCTCAAGATCATCCACATTGTAGAACTCCAACTGGCCATTGAAACCCTTCAGCCCAGCAAGAACGATAAACTTCCCTGCAGGAGACCAGAACAGTGCATCAGCTTGCCTGCCCTTGATTGTTGTGAGCTTCGACACACGGTTAACATCGTCGGCTGAGTGCATCGAGTAGAAGCTTATGTCATGCTTAAACCCATCGCTGTGGATAATAGCAAACCGGCTGCCTCTTGGCTCCCACGCAAAGACGACTATGTTGTCATTCTTGTTGTCCAATTCAAAGACCTCGCTCAGGATGCCCCTCTCCTTCATCCTGAACAGCTCGAAACTAGTGCAACAAGTTGTCCTCTCCGCTTCTGCGTGCCGATCTACCTGGATGGCAAGATACTCTCCATTGTTTTGCCAATACATTTTGCAACCACTAACGCTCGAAAGGTACTTGCGCCGCAACTCCTCTTTGCTGGTAATTTGCACCAGACTCACCTTTCAACAGATAGCACATATATATTTAGCTTACACTTGACCATCTATCTACCTTATGAAAATCTTAAATAATGTGAACCGCAGAGATTTCTTTCTACTTACCCTTGCAAGCTGATTTCTATTACCCGGATCTTGAACAAAAATGCATAAGATGGAATCAGTCGGCGACCAACTGAAGTCTACCACATTTTCTAGCTCCAAGGACGTGTTGCCAACAAGGGAGAACGTTTCGGTTTCATAAAGAGATATGGTACCCTTTCCAAGCATGGCAAAGTATCGATCATCTCCTCCACCACTCCACCTTCATGCACATAAGACAATATACATTAAGCATCTGACTATATGTGACAAGATAATGAAAAGTTGTGTGCTCGTTAAAAAGTGTGTTATCGGTGTGTGTTTCACCTCAAGATTGGCCATGAAAGACCAGTCCTTCCATCGGTGGTGAACTCGATGAAACATTTATGAGAACATCTTTCATTGAAGTTCCGCATCACTTTCCCAGTCCTCACATCAAAGAAATTTAGGACAACCCACCTCTACACATATGAGAATGAATGCTGGTCAGATGGGAAAACTTATGAACAGTGGGAATAATACACCTAAGACAGCCTTAATTGTTTACATGTGCGTCTCTAAGGTTGCTGAGCTCATGGTTGCTGTATGTGACCAAATATCTCTCACCTGGGGAGAAATCGATTAGTTGAACCTGTAGAAATTAAGCCACTGTCAGCTGGAACACAACACTGAGTTTTTGCATAGAACAATTACAGTAGTGTGGCACAACTTAGTTAACCAGTACCTGTGGATGAGGAAAGCGCATTAGGCGTTTGAACTCGCCATCGCCGCCCCACACCTGTGCACCTTGCCTATGCACCGTCGCCAAGTATATACCAAGAGGAGACCACTGAACAAAACTATCGGTCCCGCGCTGGCAAGCAAAATAATGGGCAAGGTAAATATGTGCATGATACTATTTCTACTTATGGAAGTGTGGCATGCCACGGGCTTAACTTTTTATCAATCGAACTGTATGAAAAAATGCAAGAAGTCCGAAAAGAAAACCAAGCACCTGCTTTTGGTAGGCAAGTTCAGGCACAACATCGTTCCAGTACACCTCAGTAG